TGGCTCATGGTCATTCTGCTGTCCACCAAGAGCCCCGGGTCCCTCTCCCCTGCACTGGTCTCCAACAGGTCAGTCCCCAACCCATACTGGTATCTGGAGTTGTTGTTTCCCATATACAGGACTCTACACTTGCCCTTGTTGTATTTCATAAAATTTCTCCCTGCTCAACTCTCCAGCCTCTCTAGCCAGTCAGTCTCGCTGAATGGCAGCACAGCCTTCTGCTGTTTCAGCCATTCCTCTCAGCTTTGTGTCATCAGCAAACTTGCTGAAGGTGCACTCTGTTCCCTCATCCAGGTCATTGAATATATTGAATATTACTGGTCCCAGTACTGACCCCTGAGGGACCCCACTAGATACAGGCCTTCAGCTAGACTCTGTCCCACTGACCACAGCTCTCTGTCTTCTTCCCTTCAACCAGTTCCCAATCCACCTCATGACCTGATCATCCAGACCACACTTCCTCAGATTACCTGTGGGGATAAATGCACTAATGTTGTTCCAAAGATAGATAATATACTGTGATTTGGAACAATACTGTTAGTCTTTGGTTCAACTGAAAAAAAAAAAACCGATGTGATTAATCACGTGACCTCAGAGTCAGATTGCACAGGACAGGAAAGGAGCTTTCCCAGCTAATGTAGCCTTCTGCCTAGCAAGTCTCATAAAGCCTTTGTTGTGGGGATGATAGGTTTGACAACGGTAGTGTTCTCATCACAAGGGTATACCTGCTTCCTGATGTGTATTTTAAGCCAAAGACACTTTTTCAAGTTGGTATTTTAGATAGTAGAAAGCTAACATGGAATTTCTGCTAAAAGATGGTAAAGAGATCTGTAACTCGCCAGCAGAACTAATCATTAGTGGATGTTGCTCTTAAACTTACCTTAAACCGTCTATCGTATTTAGTTACAGTGTCTGCAAAATCAATTTTCTCCCGTTTGCCCACAAACTGGCGCAGCTCTGGATGATCCTCCATGCCTATGTAATCTCCCACAAAATTCCTGTTAATGCTGTTCCGTCTTCTTTCCTTCTTGTTCAGCAATAGATCTGATGCTTAAATACCAATAATAAACATTAACAGTATTTACTGAATTTTGTACACTTGTGATCTGAAAGAGTTAACTTTATGAAGCAGAAGTTTTTGGTAAGAAGTGATAAGCTTATAATATGAAAAAAATAGCGAAGCACTAATAAAGAAATAGTGATCCTTTATGTAAGGATCCATGTGATTATTAAATTCATTCCTAATGAAGTACTGATGGCAGTCTCAGCAGTTCTGATGAACCAGAGCACTTCGGGAGCTAAAGAATTTCTCACTCATTGCTGGAAATTAAAGGTTAACTCCTCCAAATCCAGAATGTTGTTCATTCACATAACCAAGGCCACACATGCAACTAAGCACTACAGTCCTTGGAAGTGTTTCCTCTTTCACTTATCCTGGACCATCTCTGATCTTTTTCCTGCTCAGTCTGGCTTTGGTTTTGAGAGAAAAATACCATGTTGTAGTCCAATAAATCCATGCATGTAGAGCCACCAGTCTCGTCAGTGGTACCTTAGGGGTCCAGCAATTCGCAGTCATTCTTAGATGGTCAACTGCAACGCAGTGGTTTCCTTCATCTCTTGTGGCACTCTTTCTGTTCCCGGAACCATGTGTGAAAAATCTGTCATCAGAAGTTATAACCTACCTTCTTCTCTCATCTGTACGTATTTTTTCCTGGCCACATACTTCCTCCATGCCTTCTGGATGGCCCTGGCATACCCATCATACTTCCTCTCTCTCATCTCTTCTAACAAAAATAACTGTACAAAGAGACAGAAGGGTAGGTGTTAAGCATTTTACGTTAAAAGTTCAAGTCGTTCCTGAAAAATTCCTTTTTCTCTTGTCAGAATGTTGTCATGTCTATGAGGATCTGTGCAATGTGTGACATAACACACTGCATTTACGTGCAACTTCCTTCCCTCCCTGAATTTCATGCTCTTGAGTCTACTGGCTCCATTCTTTCCCAGCAATAAATTTTGTTGTCTGGCTGCAGGATTTACAGCTATGATCTTGTATTTCACCATGACATAATAAGTTTTTTGGGTTCTAAAATGTCAAAATTCAGAAGACGCTAATTTATCAAAACAGAAATGGAAGGTTCACTGCCTTTTTTGAGAATTTCCAGGTCCTATTAAAATATACGTACATCTAGTGCATTAGAAAAACTTCATAATCATTGTAGGATATAGTGTATTTCACTATAGCCTTTAACATAATTTTAGTTCATTTTCTTTTCTCGTCACAAGCACAAGTATTTGGTTAACAGTTAAGAGTATTAAATCAGTCCACTGACATGACTGTTGCTCCCTCTACTGTGCGTTAAATATTCATAAGGACTTTTCTTCTAGCTTTCAAAAGAGAGAAAACTAGTAAAAACAAGTATACCAAGAAACAAAACTGGGCTTTAGGATCCTTTTCTTAATTTGCTGCCCTCAACCATGCAAATCTAAAAAAACCACCGTCGGCTTACAATAAAAATGATCTAGTGCAAACTATTTCCACAGAACCTCACTTGCTCTTAGGCAGTTATTTATTCAGGTGTTTCATGGAAATGTAAATAATGAAGCTTCCTTTCTGCCACTCATAAAACTTTATTTCACAGTTGGTAACTATCCATCTACAGCAAACTTATTAAGAATAATAAAAAAAAATCTTCACAAATACATGAGCACTAGGTGGGGCCTCAGCACACAGGCATGAGTGCTCCTGATGCAAAAACCTCCTTGGCTTCTGCAGGGTCGATCAAGCCCTTGTGCAGTTCAGGTTACAGTAACAAGATTGGTGTCATTTCTTATGAACACTTAACATTTATATCTCTAACAATAATGCTAATTGCAAAATCTTAATGCAAAATAGTCTATTACCTGCAGTAAAAATTCCAAAAATATGTATTGCAAAGCCTCCCATCATGTTTCTGAGCAAATCAAGTGTTTTTAATCACAATGGATGCTCTCTTCAGTGGCAGAAGGGAAAATTTTCATTTACTATCTAAGATTATTTTTCTCAGAAGTAATATCACTTTAGCCAATACTTTAGTAATATGACAGATACTAAAAAATTTAAATCAAGCTTTAGAGTATTCAGTTCAGAGAAATTTTTTCAACCTAAAATGAAAGAGGCCTATGCTATTTTTAGTGCTTGTTTAAAAGTTGATTTCATGGCTTTTCAGCAACAATTTTTTTAATAAAATGTATACAGTAGCTGAAAGCATTAATTTAAATTAAAATCAATATGCAGCCCCCAAAAGTTTAACATTTCTAGTCAACCTCATGTTGTCTTAACCTGCAGAACTGTGCTTCTGTAAAATTCACAGATATGCTATTCAATGGCATATATGTGAAACCATGCCTTGGTATTACAGAAATGCATTAGAATGGGAAGATTCATTCACTGGAAAACAAGTTATTCCTCTTGTAAACAATCTAGTAGCATATGATGTCGGGGTACACAATAGTAATGTTTTGGCCACTTCAGAATGAAGGGGGACTAGATCCATCAAGCCTATGTGAGCACCTGGCTACTAAACAGAAGACAGACACCAGCAAATGACTTAATTTCTTTCTTTGGAACAGAAAAAGGAATCAGACCCACTCCATTTGTGAAGATATGGCTGCTGAAAATCTGTGTTCAGAAAAAAAAAGTTCATAGGGGAAACAAGAAAATTGGGTTTGCTACAGTGTAAGATAATGACACGGGACTGGAAGGTGGTGTTTAAATTGTAATTACAAGCAACTAAGGTGTCTTTATTAATTGAGATAGATACTCGACCAGAATGTTGTCTACTTGCCACCACCCTATAATAAACTTGAGATGATCAGTAAAGGACTAAAAGCCACAACTGTAATATCACGAGAAGAGTTATCAAAGACATCTGCTGATATACAAGGCTATTGCACTGATTTTGTAAGATAAAACTCCCCAATAATCTGAAGAAATAAATCATGGCCATGATACAAAGGAAGGCAGATAAAGCTCTCACTTTCTCACAGCTGGCTAGCTAAAAAGTTGCTTGCAATGACTAAGTAGGATTAGTGCTACACTAGAATTTCCTGTCTGCCAACATGCACCCTAAGTATTCCAGTAACCTACCTTTGAACAGTATATGCTTCATTATATAAATGTCTCTCAGGTGGCAAGAATATAAAGTCCCATTATTCCTGAAGAGTTTTCCCTATTTATGGTAGAAACAACTCAATTTCTCTTATGCCTTAGAGAAATGTTATCTTTTTCCCTTTAACAGGTATCTTCCTATGTGATTGGGCACAGCAGTGTCATTGGCTGATCTACTGTTGCTCTACAGAGCAAAAAATATGTTTATGAAAAAAATGATGGCAATAGAAGTGTTCTGCTTTTATTCTGATACATAGCTTCAGGTAATGGACCAAGAAACTACTCAGTGCTCAATTGCAAGGTACGCTATACAAACTGAGCCCAATTGCTTCTGATAAATATGGAATATATGATGGTGAGTAAGTGTAATTTTTTGCTTGACAACAGTGATGTAAGAAAACTTTTTTCAACAGATTTTGTGCAGTTTCGCAACCACAGGATAAAAACAGCCTTATGATGCTTTCCTGTTTTCTTGGAATGGGATTTCAAGCTGCAGTCGTTTTGGAATGCTAATGTATTCAGTGATGTGTAGCATATCCTTACTGTAACTTAGGGCTATCCTATTTTAATCAATAGTTCTTGTACTGAGAAGAGGACCTATTTTCTTGGGCTAATGGTCACAGATACACTTTCATGCCATGATGCTCTTTCATATGACAGATTCTCTGATGGAATGTTACCATGTACAGCCTGACACTAAAACATCTTCTTTTCCATCTTCTCTTGATGCATTTAATGCTCCTTGTAGTAGTATCAAAACCACACAAGATCCTTATGCCCTGTGCCATTTATACAAAGTGCCTAGGATCCCTGAGGCACCTGTGACAGATGTGCTCAGATTGACTTATTTTTTATGCTTCTCCCACGTTAGCAGATACCACGCTCGACTTCTGAGTGGGCAGGCCTTTTATTTCAGGAAAACTGTTTCATGTTGAAAGACTCATGTTCTGCCACACTTACAGACTCTGGAGCTTTGATGAAGACTTTGGATTTACCCAGCTGGTATTGATCAGGATCCATGTTAACTGACTGAAGCAGGTGGAGAACTCCTTGTTTCTCTTCTCCTTTCCAGGAAGGCCAGGTTGCTTTGGTCAGAATGGCATACCTTAACCACCAAAAAGAGGAGGTTAAAACCTGACATCAAACAGTAGCAGCAGAATACCACTGACTCTTAGTATTACCCTAGGGGGGGTGGATTGATAGTTTTGGCAGGGCTTATGGGAGCTTGGAGAATAGGAAGATAAACAGTATTAAGATGCTACTTGTTTAGCAAGATCAAACAACTGCAATGAGAAGGACAACAGTAGCCAGGAGTCTCCCATTTCCAGATGCTAAGTTACTATTTGGTGGCTGCAGTAGTTAATTACAGAATGTTCTGCTGTCCCTAAGTACAGGCAAAGTTATTTTACTAGTAGTGACTTATGGTTCAATTTAATTATGTACATGCTTGGTATGCCAGATTAATTCCCAAGCATATGGCCAATTTCCCACTCAAGCCTTCTCTGTCTGTCTTATTGCTATAAAGGCCTTTTCTGTTTCTAAGGGACCAATTCATGCTCCTAACCCACCTGTTCAACAGCTAGTCTGTGTTTAGCAAAGAGCCATTCTTCACTTTATCCCAGAAAGCCCTTGGCTTGGCCTCTGGTACAGGAGGGAAGACACAGTGCTGTTGGTGCTGCCTAGAGGGAGCACACTAGACTGGGAACTGACAACACAAAGGGCTAGGCATGGAAGTGCTATAACAATGTATCTTTGATAGGAAGAGGTGAGTAGTCTTGTCTTACGGCATTTTCTCAGCCTTGAAAATTAGGTGGATGCCAGGTTGCAGCCCCTTGTAAACTGTCCACTTTTTCAGGCTTAACTTGGGCTTTTGGAACTGCCAGGCTGGAGGTACAAAAGCTGCCTTGTTCCACTGCCCACCAAGGAGCACTGGTGGGCTTTAGGTGCCTCAGCAAGCCTATGGGTAAGTAACTTCTCTAGTAGCAGCTATTTAGACTCCTTAGACAGTGAGAGTGAAGGACAGCTAAATATGTTGTGAAAAATTTCTCCTCCAAATCTTTATAGTCTTTACTCTCAACAATTTTTTTTTTTTAAATGCTTTAAGTGTGCTTGACTTACATAAACTATATCGTGCTTATTAGTAAAGCTATTCAACTAATGGAAAAAGTGATAAAGTATGGAGTTCAGTTTGTTTAATTCCCAAGTTCTTGTTTCTTAAGACTTAGGCAGCTCCTAATAAAATGTTCTCAAAAATCACACAAGGAATTGTTACAAAATTCATTAAGGCAATGTTCATTAGTTATTCTTGTCATGTCTAAAATGTTATCCAGCCAGCAAGCAGAAAGTGTCATGCAACTTATTGATATCACACAAAGGAAAACCAGCAACAGTTAAAAAGGAATGTATTGCAAAAACCAAACATCTCCAAACAGCAAGTATGTGAAAAGAGAAAGCTAACTTATGAATAATGCAGTAGGATTCAAAAGGGTCTACTGATATTAACATGTTCAAATCTGCTATTAGTTAACATATACTCAGGTACTATGTGTCATGGCATAACAACGTAGCTCTTATACCATCTTACAAACTTGAGTATATTACACATAATCTATGTTTCCAGACAATATATTTTGTTATATATTATGTAGTTTATCAATATTATAAATAGATGCAAGCTAGTAAGGAGTTAGAGTAACTCACAGCCTATTTAACAGCCTATTTGGCAGGTTCATCACGTACCACTAACAGTATAGTTGTATAGGTGGCTCTAAGCAAGTCTAAATTTACAGGAGCTGATGTTAATAAGGGGATTTGAAACTGCTACCTTCTGTACAACAGAATTTAACACTATATTTCAGCATGTTACAAAGTATTTCCTACATCTGAGCTGTAAAGGAAGGCACAGGGAAAACATGACTTAAGACCCTTACTATAAGTAAAAGTCTTGGGTACAAAATAAGAATAGGTTGGAAATTCTCCTTTTTCATAAACTCAACTTCAGACATTTTCCTGATGTGACAAGTCTGCAAGGCAGAATAAACAGATTATATAATTCACCGATTAATCATTTCACAATTTTACCTGACAATTCTATCATTGTTCACTGCTGTTTAGAAATTGCACTTTCCTCTAATGTACTTGTGCGTGTCTCCCATTAAACTGGTCATGTCACTATCCATGTATCTAGGTCGTTCAAGCTTGTGTAATTTGATCTTAGAGAGGGTTTCAGCACAAGTACTAAATGTGTTCTTAAAATGCTTCTGCAGCAATTTCAAATCATGACTGCCCCCCAAAATAACTATTACAAATTCAGTTAGCAGTTAGGATCTAAATATGGGTGTATGGAGTTTAGCTTTCAGTTTGGTTACGTGTAGAAACACACAGGCCTTTTCAGTGACTGTGGCTTTTTGCATGCAAATGTAAATTTTGTACATAAAAGTCTATTCAACACAGAAATCTCCACTTTTATGGAGCTGCCAAGGAATGCCCGATGAAAACGAGTGTACAAGCATTTCCTGTCCATCCCATGCCTCAGCCCGCTTCTACTCAAACTTGCTCAGGGTGTCAGAACAGTGCTTATTCTGCATGCTAGGGAACTGTGAATGGAAAGGTTGCAGGAAGAGTTTTACTCATAAAAAAATCTTAAATTTAACATGACTAATTTGAAACAACTGGATGTATTCCATCAAGAATGGCTTCAGTTGCCTGTGGGTTTCTGCATGCCAAGTATAGAAATCTATTCGCCTTCCTTAAGTCGCATGTAGCTTTTCTTTGTGCAGACCTCTCGGGCAGTTTTCTAGACCTGCACAGCCCTCACATGAGTTCAATAAATATGGAGGCTGGATTTAATACATATTAAGCTGTTAGTCTGTCTCAGCAAGAGTCTGTGTTAAGTAATGCAACCTGGAACATAGTCATGTTTACGTATCTGGGCTTGAAGACTGTGAAGAAAAAGGAGATTTAAAATTGTTCCATAATGAAAAAATTGAGTCTGTACTTTAACGGACAGACCTAAAATATATTACTAGATGATTAGAAGATTCCCTATCTTACGAAGTTTTATCAGTAGTTTTGTTCTGTGCTGATTAATTATACTTCACTCCTTGCAACAACTGATTGTGGGTTGTTTTTTGTTTTATATTCTCAAACATAAAGACTTCCAACAAAAGCTCATTTGTCATATGATGCCCCAGTTTGGGCATTTATTAGCTGTATGTCTCAATTTTCTGAAAACCAGAAGCTGAATGTTGTGTAAATCTTGAAGCTGCTGTTATTTAAGAGAATTTCATTAGCTAGTGGATGTAGTTAATCATCTTAACAGCTGGTCCTCAGACACTGAAAAAAGGATTGGTCTCACAGAGCTCTGACTTGCTCCCATTCAGTGAGCAGCTGCGGTGGTTTGAGTTGTAACCGTTCCCGGCTGTTTGAACACCAGTGGAAGGATACAATGAGCAACTTAAGCTAAGGTTACTCTTTGCACTGAAATGGCTGAATGGCAGGCATCTTCATCTATCTGCTGTCATCGGGAAAGAAGAGTTGGGAGAGCTAAAGCAGTAACTTTTTATACAAAGGCTAGCAGCTAGACATTGAGATTCCAGGCTCTGCAGCTCATAACTCTTCCCTTAACTCTTGAGAAATCCTCTCATAGCACGACAAAAAGAAGTGAGGTCTTAGGTGAGTTTACAGAAAAAATTTTTGTGAAGCCAGTCTTTAAGACACTCTCAAATCTCAGTGTAACCTAGATGGTGAGCAAGGTCAGTGGGGGAAAGAGAAAACAGTAAGTGCAAAATGAGAAGCATTCAAAACTTGCAACTTCTTGTTGTCTTCATCATCACATAAACTGTGCTGTATGATACTTAAAAATGAATGTAACTCTACCTCTGCAAAAACTTCTTGAAAACCCGCCTGTAGGCATAGCCAGCTCTTCTTACTCGAATATTTTCTTTCAGACCTAAGTATTCCACTTGATGTTTTACCCTGTAGGCAGAAACAGTGCAAGATTTACAATCCATTTTATTTTGGCATATTTGTGGATTGAGGTATTTTTAGAAGTCTATAGCATGATGAAAGAGGATTGAGTTAGAGAATTCATGTCCAGATATATGAATCTGTTCTTACGTATTACCATGCACACTGCATGGTAGGAAAAACACTCAAGGCAGGTAGACCACGTTACTAAAATACATGTAGCAAGTTCATCTTTGCATTTTATCCTAGTTTAACTTCCCATCTCATACTTAATTTATGTATGAATTTCTTAACTAGTATTATTAGCTATAGAAGGCCAGGTAAATTACTGATATCATAGCTAGTATCCGAGGGAAGTGGGAAATTGTTTTGTGTTCTTTCATTATACATTTCAGCTTTGTTTTACACAGCTCAAACATCAACAGTAGCTCTTTTTGGATTGTTCTGGAAAAAGGACAAAATCTGAGAAAGCTCTAGGTGCTGAAATTTCCTTTGAATCAGAACGAAGAAAGCTAGGCCAGTATATTCATGAAAAGTTAGTATTCCTTCCGATTTTACCATGCTGCAAAGGAAGGATTTGAGGATAGGCACGAGACTGGCTGAAGCACGCCTGGTAAGCTTGTTCATGGCATGCTTCTGTTACAAACTAAAACTGAGCTGGTGCCAGTTCCACAGAAAAGTGTTAATGGCTGTGGGGGAATTCTGCTGCACATGTGAATTAAAACGTTGTTATCCCAATACCGTTGCAGTTCCCTCATGCAAAACACATTTATTTAGGTTCTAAACAGGGAACAAATATGTCCCCCTGAATCTCGGAGCAGAAAAACAGCAAAAGGGAAAAAAAAGCTTCCTTTTCATGTTTCTGGAGCTGTGGTATGTTATTTTATGTTCCTTCTTACATATGCTGCTAGTCTACTGTTTAATGCTTGGAGATGTGATCAGAAGAATTTCAGTTAGCCTCCTTAACAATGTGTGACTCTGCTGTTTTTCTTTGCATTTCCTTACTCTCTTCATCATTGCTGGAAGAGGCAATATCAGTTCTTAACTCTGAAAAGTGGTGTTCAGGGGCTTTTGTTGCTGTTCTTTTATAGGATAAATTATGGAAGCTTTAGCTTTCAGTAAGAAATATGAATTGTTAAGATTTTAGTCCTGCAAACTTAACTAACAGTATATAAAAGTGCACTTTAGACATAATCAAAAAAAGGGAGAGTGTAAGGAGCCATTTAATTTTCTTTTGCTTACCATTTCTCAGATTTTACAAAAGACTTTTCAAATCCTGAAAAACTGCTGGCTAATCCAATATTATTTTTCTAGCAATTTTGGAGTGTTAAATTTCAATATAAAGTGTATTGCCCATTGATTTTCCCCCCCTTTTTTTGGTTAGGACATTCTTTTCACATGACTCACAGTATAAAGGGAAAAAACTTTTGAAATCCCATGCTATAAATGACAAAAGCCTTTCAGCTATTTCTTCTTTTTGAAGAACACTTTTGAGGGGTATCTTACTAAATGATGAGTGATAGAGCTCTTTTATTTTATAACAAAGAATACTGCACATTTTAATCTTGCTGTGTTCAAGGAATAAATTATATTTTGTACCCACTCCAAGAATGCTGGTGCAGCAGAAAATTGGTGAACAAAAATACATTTTCCTGTTTATAGCTTTCCCTCCTGTTCACATCTGGAATAATGCACTGGAGCAACAGTATTACTCCCATTTTCTTACTGTCCTGCCAGTATTGGTGTCCAGCAACAGAGAATTTGAGACGCTTTTCTGTTTTTCCTTTTCTTTCTGAGAAAAGGCACACCAAAAATCTCCCTGCAGGCATCAACCTCAAGCAGGTCAGGGTCTGGGAATTCAGCTAATGCAGCAATTTTGCATAGAAGTCCAAGTGGCTGTGCCAGTGCCTGAATAAAAACACATTTCAAGAACACCTCAGTATTTTAAAAACTAAGGTATTGTACAGGGTTCTGATACTACACAAAGTCTGTGTTAGAATGCTAAATATGCTGGAATTATTCAACAGCGGTACAAAGCTGGAGTGACAAGACTTCTGTGAGCTTGAAAACAGAACTTTTTCACAGCAAAACCATGAAACAACAAAATTAAGCTTAAGTTTGAGTTGTGATATGCATATAAATTTCTCTTCCAGACATGTCACCAACTGCTGCAGCATATGCATGCTATGTGGGAAATCATAATTTGAAATGTAAGAGAATGTTTGGATTTTTAAACAGGGATGAAGGATTATCATTGTAAGAACTACTTGGATTTGTGTCTGAGACTGAAAGCGTACAGTCCTTTGTATTTCGTTTGTTACCAGTAGCTGCTGCATTTGCCAAGTATCATCCCCAGTAAGGGAAAACAAGAAATCTTGCCCATTTTTGCTTCAAGAGGGGTTTCCTGAATGCTGGCCTTTTCTCAGGAGTAGGTTTTTGTTTGTCTGTCTCACTGGTTTCCTAGCAACACCTTGCACAATAACAGGCTTGTTTTTTTCAATATGTAAATGATTTATTCTAAAAGCTCCTCAACTTGCAGGTAAAAGTTTTAGGCATACTTTTTCCAGGGTCACTTACTTTGCTCCTTTGGTCCCCAGTGTTTGTGGAAAAATTAAGTGTGCATAGTAGGATTTTCAGGGGTGGAAAAGCTAGAGAAAGAGGGTCTATAGTTACTGCCAAGACCTAACTGACGCTTTGAAGTGCAGTCCCAATTGTGGCTTCTGTAATTGCTCTACATCTGCATGTAATTGTGCTAGTCTGCATGCCAAATGGCAGGAAGTGAATTCTGGTGTGGTGTTGATATGGTCAAGAATGCTTTTTATCAGACTTTGCAAGTTCTTTCACTGTGATTAACTGCCTGCTGTATCAGCACTTTAATAAATACCAAAAGTACTCGGTGTATAGTAATAAATGTTATCTATCTGTGTTATATATACTATACTGCTCGCCAACCTCAGTGCAAAAAAAGAAGAGTATCTTTTTTCAGTTAATAGGAAGATGCTATAAAGCATCATACAGGAGCCTTTTATGTTCTTGGCTATGGAGACTTTTTGCTGAGTTTGATACATAAAAGCAGATACAGACGTCCTGTTGGCTGTTTAGCTACCTAATGGAAACTGTTTTCAAAGCATAAAGCAAAAGTTAGAATAGATGTATAATGCATTTGGTGTGCAAATTCTGCATGGAAAATTGAGTCTTTAATATACCACTTGTGTTACTGTTAGGCAAATGTTGATTATTAATAACTGATAGGAGAAATGCCAAGAACTGCATATACTAACTGCTGATTTTAACCAAGTGACCACAGCTGATCAAAGTTTAGGAGAGATCATGCCAGATTTCATTTCTGAAGGTTTTAAGAGTATCTAGTTCTGCTTGTCTGTAGGCTGCAGGACTACAAATTACGAGGTTTTGTGGTTTGTTTTTTTTTTTTACCATTAGCATGGTTTCTTATCACATACTCTGCTTATCCATACCTGCTCTCCTCCCAGTCTCGAGACTTCTTTGTTTCATTTGGTTTGATGCAGCGGATGTAATGGGGCGTACACTTCATCAGGGTGCCAACAAGGTCATTTGCTTGTTTCTGTAAAATTGAGGGAAAACAATAGGGTCTGAGCTGAACAGGGTGAATACTGTGAGAGAATTCTAAAAATAATCAATTGCCTGCTAATGATTGAGTTGACTGGATCCACTTGATCTTTTGGTCTTTCTCCAGAACAACCAAAGTGTCTTGGGATAACATGCATCTTATGAAAAATTTAACAGTAAACAGAAGGCACTGTTATCTCCAGCTATGTAATATATTTAATTTATAGAGTGACGAGGTGAACTTGATGAGGTGAACTTGACTGTCAGGAAGAAATATGAGGAAAGAGGTTGATAAAATACCAGTTTCCAAAGTCTGCAAGTGTGTAGTCTAAGTGCATATTTTCTAACAGTCTCCAAAAAATGCTCGTGCCTTTTAACACTTGCTGCCTTATTCAATGCAAGTTATGGTCAGGAGAAGGACTTCTGCTGACCTCTGAGTGTTGGATGAGGCCTCCCTGCATTTCTGCACTATAAAGGGACCAGTAATCTGTAGGTAATTGTAGGACATCAAGTGGCTGAGCAAAGCAGCTCATTAATTACGCACATGCAAGTACTGTTATCGCTACCATCAATTGCCCATTTGGAATATTCACTGCTGTAGAATGCAGCTGAACAAAACACGTAATGAACAGTGATGCTGGGCGAAACAATGTAACAATGCATCACTTTGCAATCAAGATACTCCTCATGTCTATAAAAATGTCTGGACCATAAAACCTGCAAAGACTACTTTTTTATTTTTAAATTTTAGGTCTCCATACACACACACCCATATATGCACATACTAACACAGCAACACTAGACATACTTTGATTTTACTGCCCGCAGTGGTAGGACGGCCCTTCTTGTCCACTTGAAGATTTTCAGGAAACAGAGCCTTTATAAAAGGCCTAGGAAAGAATTAATTAAAAAATGTTGGCATAGAAAGACAGCTCAATGCAGGAATATCAAGGAATATGCTGTGAAAGTTTATAGTTGAACAGACTATAAATAGCAATTTCTACTAATTGGGAGTTACATCAAATTTATTCTAAGGTTAGTATTTTCCATGAGCTTCAGACCCCACAGAGATTCCTTGCTATTTTAATGAGCCTTGCAAGACAGGATACTAGACTTCTAGACTTGAAGAACAGTGCACTTCTTAAAAAGTAAACATCAATTAATTAAAAATCATAAGAAGAAAACGTTATATGTTAAAACAGTGCCTGTTCTGAGAGAATGCCAAATCACTTACAGCCTTGTTTGAGGCCCAAACAAGTGGCTGTTGTTATACCATTTGATTCTGACACTGCAGATGCTTGATTTCTGCTTTTACACAAATAAGTTCGAAAGCTGCGAAGTAGAGAAGTCAGACATTCTGCATCCATCCAAACCAACATGTTATTCCTAGCTTTAAGCAAGTTTTGCTTACGTACAGATCACTGCTCTGCATGAGTTCAATCAAGTCCATGAAAAGAACATCCCGATTTCTCTCGCAGAATCCATCCATATCATAAGATACCTGGGCCAAGGTGGAAATTAGGTTGAGAACCCAAAAATTAAAGAAAAATCTAAATTCTCTCCTCATCTGTTGCTTTTATGAACATCTTGGTTAGTCTGATATAAGTTAAAGATACTACTGTCATCATTAAACCCTTGCATATATTACTAGTTAACTCTTTCGCAACAAACCTAAAAGAATTAAATCCATATATTTCAATTCAGTGAAAAAGACTTATGGAGCTGTTGAATGGAATAGGACACAAGTAAATTTAATACTGAATTTTACTGAAGAAAAATTTCTGCATAACAGTGTTTTAGTGTTAACTATAACTGCAGGAAATCATGAATAGTCTGAGAAATATGCCCAAAGAAGACAGAACTATACATTTTATTCCTAATTTTATTGGTATATCATAACCTAAGGTTTGGCTTTATATCTGAATTATTTAAATTTACTGCTACTATAACCAGTAATTAAGATTATAATTAATAAGACACATAAGGCATTTATTTATTACATTCAATACTGAGTTCTGCTTAGTATGTCTGATAGCAGCAAGGCCCAGACTCATCTCTTCTAAAGGCCATGTGTTAGGGCATGTTTGTTCTAAGCTCCCTGCAGCGTGAGTAGAGGACACTGTCTCCTGAGATACTCTGGCTATTTAAAAACAAAACAGTCCTCGACAGGGCTTCTCCCTTCCTTTCATTACTGTTCTTTTTCTTTATAAATACATTATGGGGAATTCAGTGATGCTTTTCCACGTTACCTTTCCAGCATAATGGTGAATGATAAATCCCTGATTCCAGCTGTTGAAATGTTCATGAGTCCCGATCTGCATCTGGAGTTTTTGAAGCAGTGTCTGGTCAGCTCCTTCTCCCACTGCATGCATTGTGGCACACACATCATCTAAAATGCTCATAATCCCTGGGGGATTCTAACATATTGGAAAAGAGTAACAAAAATGGCAAAAGAAGTGTGTGTGTGGAAATTATAATGGCATTTTTTCCCCCAAACCAGAAAGTTATCTTTGCCTCAAAAACACTAGACCAAAGTCATAGCAGGAAAAGTTCCCCCTCCAATCAGTAAAGGTCACAGTAGAGATTAATTTTTTTAAATATATGTGCAAATAGTTTAAGGAGAGATGCCACTGTGTGTAATGATAGTGAGAAAAGATGGCAAAAACAATGATTGCTGTTAAAAGAAACATGACAAAATGCCCAACATTTGGTTTAGTTTTTAATTCTTTCACAAAGCAGTCTTCTAGCTCCAGCAAAAAATAAACCCATGTCTGAGGTAAGTATTTATACTCACATGCTGTAGTTGACAAACTTGGAGCTAAATATCTAGGGTAATTTACTAGTTATCCTGACGCAGGTGGGAGATGGACAAAATCTGATGTGTGTTTAAGCATGAGCCACTGTAGTACTTGAACTACTGTTAGAATTATCTGGCTTAAACGAGGACAAAGAACTAGCTGAAAAACAACCTACTTCTATTCTAAAGGACAACTTAATATTTTTTTTTTTGTCACCTCAAAGCAGAACATAAAAACTTTACACCTTGTGTGGAGCAAAGACAAAACTTCTTTTATCTACAACACTTCCTAATACTTGTCTTCATTTGCTTCTGCTTAATTTGCAACAATACCTCAAAGGAAGCTGGTATTGTAGCTTCCCCAAACTGAAATACGTCTACCAGGGACACAGCCAGCCTTATCTGATGTATAGTAGAATATGTCATGAAGTTCGTGATAAATTTAGGTGGATGCAATTTTAATTTCCTTTTTTTTTTAGTGACGTATCAATCATGCCCTATTGTGATTATCTTTCTTGTTAGTATCTTAGATAACTTATATCTTAGATGACATCTTGGAGCTCTTATAAAGCACCTTATGTAAGATTTTATATATAGACTTAGTATGACTCAGTAACTGAACAACAGTATTTGCATTTTTCCTACAAATGTTCTTGACAGCAAAGCAGTTGCCCAAATATTTTAAAGAAAAATCTTGTGGGTTTTTTTTTTTCCATCTGTTTGTTCTAAGTACTTACCACTTTGTTCTCTATAAGGTCACACACTATTTTGTTGTTAAAGTAATCTATTGGTGTCCATCTAATTCCTTCTTGCACGTATTCTTCCTGGTAATAAGTAAAAAGAAAGATGCAAATATTCTTTGCATGGTGGATGTAGCACTAGATTTACAATGCGCTGCAGATACACAAACTCTGCATTAGTCATGTTCAGAAAGACTTGGCAAATGTGTGACTGGGGGGGTGGGAGAAATGACCCTAATGATAGTTAAATCCAGTTCTCTACTGCCTAAGAGATGAATCGGAATCCTTCTATGTTCTCCCCACGCGTTCTTTTGTCGTTTATAGTCCTTGAGTAGTTACTGAGAAGAACAGGAATATTTAATTAGTGCATTTATTGTCAGAGCACTTTGCTAATAGTAACAGAATGACTTTTACAGTATCCTGACAGTGCACAGGCATCCATATCCTAATCTATTTTTAAAATGAAGATTATGACAGGCATATCAGGGATCAGACCCCAAAACCAACACATTTAGAAATGCACATGAAATGGAGACACAGCTTTGCTTTTTATTTCTGTACACAATTACTGTAACCATAAAGACACCTAGAGACTGACTGGGGAAAAAAATCCCATACTAAAATTCAAATTGACCCACTCAGATCCATACACGAGTTCAGCTATACACATTTAGCAGGTCATTCGTGTGCTCAACTGCAATGATCGGTTACTTTAATACAAAAGCAATTGTGTATGTGCATTCTTGAAAACTTTGTCCTAAAGTTGGTGCCAGGCCTGAGCTCATACTGCACACAGGGCTTCTGTCTCGGCTGCATTCTGTCTGCCCTCCCATGCAGAAGCTCACATTCATGTAAAGTGAGATTTTGCAGTAAGACTGTGAGCAGAGAACTGCAAATACTTTCAGAAGTATTTTTCTATTTGTCTCAGTAATCTATTTCATTCATAGATTTTGTGGGTTTATTTTTAAAAAGGGCGTGGAGGAAATTAAGAAAAGATTCCCATTTAATTGTGTGTTGTGTCCAACAAAAGCACAGGGATGGAACCAAGCTGCAGTTTTCCACTTCTGTCAGTGAGTCAGAATACGCAGTGAGTCTGGGCAGTCATATGACTGCATTACCACACTGTATGACGGACTCATTTTTGTGCCACTGTATTAGAGAATGAATGTCTGTAGCTGATGTGGTTTTCTGTTTTAGGATTAGCCAACAAAGGCAGTTTTTTCCTTGAACTTGCTTAACAAGGCAACCTGTCACTAGCAGATTATAAAGCTTCCATTCTTCTACCATTTGAAAAAAAAAAGAGCTCATTTATTGATGCTTATTTATTATGCTGGGTTACCTGTTCTGCCTTCAGTGTCAGTTCAATAAAAATCTGCTGTAGTTTTTCATTAACGAAGTTGATGCAAAACTGTTCAAAACCATTTTTCTATAGAAAAAGAAACAGTTTAAAAATTAGTCTGGTGCTTTATATACAGTAATTCTTAGTTCTTCTGCTGGCAATAAGCTGCAAAGAAATGCTGTCAATGGTGGACGGGCTGCTGACCTTACAGACATTGTGTGTAATCCCAGATCTTGCTTTTAAGATCAATGACTTAGTTTCTTCGTACTTACTTTAATACTTCGGGTTTATAAAGTGAGACATTACCAGTGAGAGCTGCATGTCCTGGAAGCTGGGTTGGGGTTTTCTTGCTTTTGTTCGTACTTTTTCTGCTTTGGATTTTTTCCCCCCCTCTAAATAACAAAACATCTCCCAGGTCAAATAAACTCAAACCCTGAGCATTGCATTGCCTTACCTGGAATATTTCAAAGCCATAAATATCAAGGACACCAATGTTATACTCTTCGTGGTCCTTCTCCATAGCCTTATTAATAGACTAATAAAACAAAATGTAAAACAAAGTGTTTATATATCGTTAAATCTTTACATAAATATATTACATTTCTTCAAAAAGAACAGATTTGAATTTAATTACAACTATATGTAACAGGTTACCTTACTTTCCCTTACTAATAAAGCGTTATTAACACCTAGGAAATGAACAGTACACTATCCTGTCTTCCAGGTTAGTAAGCCTTTGTATCTACTGCTACTAAAAAGTCTTTCCCCTTTGGTGTGACTGTCTCAGTTAAAGAAAAGGAGACAACAAAAAAAGAACGGCTGTAAGTCTGATATTGGATGCATTTTGCAGACGGTACTATGCATCTTTTCACTTATTTCTGTATTCCCCTACTTTGCAGCGTCAGTGGTACAGACACACAGCGGGACACACAGGGAGACTTCTGAGACATTAGCAGTGCCACCACAGAGACTTCTGCTTCATCTAGCCAGCATCTGTGGCCAAAGGTAAGACTTCTACTCTACCAACTCAGCCTAGGGTCTCGTTCTGAACGAGAAAATACTTTAGCATGGAGAATGGAATTTGACCATTTGCTGAAATGCCACAATATGGGGATGCTGAAGGAGTTCTACATGGGAGACCAGGTAAGAGGAGGGCAGGGGATCATAACCCACTAATTCTGCTCATCTGAAAATGCTCAACCCCCTAGGAGAAAGTAAGACTCAGGGAATTATGGATGCTGACAGGAAGGAGATGTCAGAATGTTATATGGGATAGTTATGGCAGGCAACTGAGCAAGCATAGTTCTGAAAGCAAAGTTCATTTTCTTCAGAGAACATTTATCATATAGTCTGTGCTTTGTATTTGGTATTTGTATTTGTTTAGGCAAACAAACATATCAGGTGAAAGAAATAACAGACAAGAAAAGCACCACAAGGATCAGTCCTAGAGTACTTGTACTTATACTTCAGTAGAATCAAGCAAATCCAACTTACATCCACCAAGTAATCAAAAACACGGGAATGAAGGGCCTTGGCCAGTGCATCCCTGGTGTAGCAGGCTTGTTCCACATTTAGTGTTACGTTAATGGACTCAGATTTGCCTCCCCACTTGCTGTCCATCTGTCTGCTGGTCAGTTTTTCCTTTAAACGGTCCTGGTTAATTCCCAGGAGAAATGCAGGGAAAGCCAAAACTGCAAGGAAGATGAGGGTTGCTGGATTATGACTTATAGACTAAACCAAGACAGAATGAAGAAAATAAATGAGCTGTATCTACATTAACAGTCAGTAGTAATAATTCTCATGGGGCTTAAAAAGAAAAAGAGGAGGGATTTAGGTCTTTAAAATTTCCCTAAGCTCCCCAAAGATGTTCTACCTTGAAGTAGAATAGTCAGCTATTTCTGTACCCTCAGTCCTTCAGATAAGCAAGCTGGCTTAGGTCACAGTTTTGAACTATGGGGTTCAAACATCACCCTTGGAGGAGACGGAAATAAAACGTAGAGCTCTCACATTAAATAAAATTGACACCATTGAGAATTATTTATAAAAACACTAAATGTTTAAAAATAATAAAAAATATGCTCTCTGCTTCCTAATATTCTCTCTCTTTCTTCTTCTAAGTTAGGATATTGCAAAAAAAAGCTTTCAATTGTCTCGCCATTTATTTGGCTTTGGTTTTTTAATCCCTCATTCTGGAAATACTTTAAATTCTGGCTTCCTGTGTTTAAAAGTAAAGCAGAAAAATACATCTGGGCAATAAGCATCCACAAGTCTAGCATTCTTCTCATTCTTAGCACGTGGTGCAGATGTTAGCTGCAGGTGTCATGCACCTTAAGGAATGGAAAAAGAGAAATGGCTTGAAAGTGTATGGAAATAGCTCCCGCGGGCAGCTCCTAAAGTTGATATTGCACCTCTGCTAAACGACGTAATCCTCTAACAGTATTTCCTCCATGCTTGACTGCTTTCAGATCTACTTTACAAGTGTGAGTAGGATGTAAAATAATCATTAAGGCAGCAGCCACTTGTGCTTTACATATCAGCAATGTCACAGCATGATTTTGATAAACCCTTCAGTACATTAATCTGAAGCTATTTTTAAAACGGAAAATAACTGCCATCTTTCTGAAATCTGATTTATTACTATCAGCAAGCTGATTAAATTTGCACTAGGGTCCTAGGATCCACACAACTAACCCAGGTTCAATTACTGGCAACATCTCTGTTAATTCATTCAGAACTTGGGTTGAAAAGCACATGAAAATGTCAAACACCACATGCTTGAAAGTGGAAAAGAATGTAGGTAATTATAGACCAAAGATGTTCACATATACGGTAAAGGTGCCAGAATAAGTATTTAGTGAATGCTACTGTAAGAATTCATGAAGATAGCATAATGGTAAGAAGCACCATGCGTGCCACAGATGCTCTTCCTTCACAGTGCTAATGATTTACTCTAAAGGAGGAATAACTCATATGACTTGATATAATTTCACATTCTTAACACGCCTGAGTATTTTTCCTAGTTAGGGGCACAAAGTTATCATCTAGAAATTACTATAGAGCAGGATATGCCTGTAATTGGAAAAAAAATCCTCAAAGAGTCATCAGTTTTGTTCTGTGGAATAGCTTTAAATACAATCTGTAAAAAAAGCTGAAAAAGATTGGATTCACTTCAGATTGCAGAAAGTGTACAACAAATCTTTAAATACAATTCAAGTGTAAAGAGGGATGGCTTCAATTCTTTTCTGCATCAGGGAGAGAACAAATAGTATTTGGCATGATTTGCAACATGGAAGATATTGAATAAATAATGAAAATATTTTTTCAACTATTAATATAATCAAGCACTGTAACAGCTAGTAATCACTGGTTTTAAAGAAGTATTTTTTCCAAATGCCTGTCAAGAATGGTCTGCATAGATTTGATTCTGACTCAGAGACTATTATAGAGTGTTTTAGTTATTCGGGAGTGGCCTTTGAATGTTTTTCAGACATTGACTATATAATAGCAAGCATGTTATTGACCAACTTATTGAAAGTTTTATCACAGACTTGCTCAAAGCATGACCTAACAGTGGTCTTTGTGTTTATCTTTCATGGCTAGCCAGGCTATAAAAGCTTTACTTACTGATTTGGCTAGGACAAACAGTAAACTGGGGGAGGGATTAATAGAAAGAGAGATGAACCCAAATTTCAACTTTTCAAGTTTTTCAATGCAGGAATTGAACTAGATGTAGGTATTTCTTCTCTGGCTTCTTTAAAATGCAGTATTTTTACTAATTAATTTATATTCATGTTATCTGCTAATTTTTTTTATGTGTTATTCATGCACAACTTCTGTGTTTATATCCCAGCAAGCAAGAGAAATATGGTGTACATGGCTCATCATAGGAATATATTTCCATTTACCAACTTATTTCCAGCTCGCGTCTTTTCAGTTTGTTGCTATTTGATGCAGTGCACTATGCAACTCTCTTGTCTGGCTATTAAATGTCTTGATTTTGTTGAAAGATGTAATACTATGATATAAATGGAAGCACAGTAGTTAATTTATAATCGTAAGGCATATAAAAAAAACCTTCTGACTTTTCTTTAGATGTATAAAGTGCCACAAAATGTTTTTCTTTGGTCTCACTGTTTTCTCAAATTGAGATTAAAGTTAAAAACTACTACTTTTTATTTCCGATTTCTTAAAGCAGATAGCAGGGCAGTACAAATACAGCTGAGGGGAAAGTTGACTGCACAATCTATTTTATCCATGTTTAACATATGTATGTCTAGTACATCAATTATATCTGCATATATATGTATAAATATACACATAAATATATGTATATTATTTTTGTCTATTCACATAGATGTGTAAATATGTGTACATTTATACACATTTTTATATACAACATTGAAATACATGTGTATATATACACATGCAAGTATTATACTGATAGTTATTGTATAATCTATTATTGTATTCTAATACTATACAATATATAATTATATTATTTTGTATATTATGTAGATACAGATAGATAGAGATACAGATAGAAATCTCCAGGTAAGTAGAGATACATATGGATAGCTATATATAGTTAGATATGGACAGAAATAATAAATACAGATAGATTTGGATAATTTGGACAGAGAGAGAGCTACGGAGAAACATGGATACATATGGAGAGCTAAGGATAAATATGCATAGACTCTGATATATTGGACAAAGAGAGTCAGATACATTTGGATAAATAGATCTGGATTTATCTGAAGCTCTCCGTATATCTATCCAAACATATTTGGTTCTATCTATTTCTCACTGAATGTATCTGACTTGATCCAAACTTAGCCATATCTCTCCAAATATATCTGAATCTATTCATACCTATTCTTCTCTCTCTGAATGCATTCAGAATCAATCCATCATTAGCCAAGTATATCCATAGCTATCTGCATCTCTCCTAATGTATCCATGTTTATCTGTTTCTGTCTGAATGTACACACCGCTATTTCAATCTATCCACTTTGGATAAACAGGGATATATTCAGAGTCAGATATGTTTGCTTACATACAGGTAGACTCAGATGCAGATAAACTCAGATACATTTGGAGTCAATGCAAATCCAAAAGTATCCTAGTCAATCTAAATATATCCATAACTATCTGAGTGTATCTGAGCGTATCTGAATGTTTCCCAGCGTAGCCAAATGTATACGAGCCTATCTGAGTTGATCCAAATGTGTCCGAGTCAATATGAATGCGTCTGAGCATATCTGAGTGTTTCCCAGTGTATCTGAATGCAGCCGTGTTGATCCAAATGTATACCAGTCAATCAGAATGCATCCAAGCCTGAGTGTATCTGTAATGATCTCAACATATCCAGGTGTAGCTGAATGTATCTGAGTCAATCCGAATGCTTCAGAGAGTATCTGTATTGATCCTGACCTATCTGAATGTATCCAAGTGTATCCATATTAATCCCGACCTATCCAAGTGTATCCGAATATGTCTGAACATATCCAAGTTCATCTGAGTATATCCGACTGTATCTGAGTCATTCCAAGTGTATCCATATTGATCCGCGACCTAGCTGAGTGTATCCGAACGTATCCAAGTTTCTCTAACTATATCCAAAGGTATCCAAGTCAATCCGAGTGTATCCGTATGTATCCCAACCTATCTGAGTTTATCCTAACATATCCAAACGTATCCGAGTCAATCTGAGTGTATCCATATTGATCCCAAACTATCTGAGTCAATCTGAATGCATCCGAGTGTATCCGTATTGATCCTGACATATCCGAGTGTATCCTAATGTATCCAAGTTTCTCCTAGTATATCCGAATGTATCCGTATTGATCCCAAACTATCCAAATCAATCTAAATGCATCTAAGCCTGAGTGTATTCATATTGATCCCAGTCTATCTGGTGTATCCGAGCCTATCTGAATTCATCTAAATGTATCTAAAGTGTATCCCTATTTTTCTGAATGTATCCATGTTGATCTAAATGTATCCAAGTCAATGCAAATCTATTTGATCTGAATGTATCCACATTTTTTCCAAATACAGCTGAGCTGCTCCATGTCTACCCCAAATCTATCAGTGTTTCTGCATTTATCCAGATATATCCAAGTCTATCTGTATCTCTCTGAATGTATCAATTGATCTAAATGTATCCAAATCTATCCTCATTTATGCAAATGTATCCCAGTCTGTCTGTATCTATCTGAATGGATCAGCACCTCTCTAACTCTACCTGAGGCTACACCCATAATTATCCAAATCTACCCCTGCACAGCTGTATTTATGCGACTCCCCATTCAACGTGCAGAGCCCCAAGCTCCGGCTGCTCCCAGGCGCAGCCCCACTCCTGCCTCTTCTCTGTCCCCCTCCGGTGGCACTTACACTCTTCGCTCTCCACCGCAGCGTAGTTCCCAACTTCTTTGAAGCTGATATTTCCCAAGTGCAGGATTCCTGCCACTATCTGCAGCACCATTGCCTGTTCCTCTGCAAAGATCCCAATCACACTCATGGCATGCTGGGAAGAAAAAAAAAAAAAGGTCAAAGAAAATCTGTTCTGTGTCTCTTATAATACAAGTCCTGTTAAAATTTTGATGTTTAGAAGTTTTTCAACACAGTTCAAGTACTTAAGACAACCAAATTTTGTTACATACAGTACTGAGGTTTCAGAAAGTTATAAGACATCTGACTTCAGCATTTTTGTATTTTTTTTAATTAAACACAGCAGCTCTACACCATCTAGAAGATGTGTTAGCAAAATAAATTCTGGAAAAAATTGAAGTTACTAAAAAACACAAGCACCTGCACTTTAGCGTCACACTAAAATAAATAGTTTCATTGCAAAATGGGAATCACTGCTGGGAAACAGTGCTCCTAAGAGACAAGGATTTTATTGTTTTTTATACAGACGGTTTATTCACCACAAACTGTGAAGCTGTGCTCAATGACTCTAGAAAGCAGCACAGCCTGTCTCAGGCTGTGAATTTCAGCCACTTATTAGAAAATAATCCACAACAACATTGGGTTTTGGAGTCTAGACTACATGGCAACCTGTAAAACGTCTTCTCAACTGACTGCTTGTCTAAATACCCAATTAACTAAAATAAAACAACAAGTTTAGTTTGGGGGGGGTTTTAGGCCTTTAAATGTGCTATGTATAGAAACAAGACGTGTTAATCATAAATTCCTAATAACAAAAGACCAGCAAGTTGACATGACTTGCTTAAAGGTCACACAATGAATCGGCAACAGCACTTTAAACACCTCTCATCTACACTGTTGAAGTCCCTTTCTCCAGCCCTTCACTTGCACTGTTTTAAATAGTCACTACTAAGAATTCAGCTAAAACATGGCACTTTTCTATTTTCTTTTAACAGAAGTTCCTCTCTGTTTGCATTTTTCACATTTTCCAAGTGCAGATTATCTGCACTCAATTAATTTGTACCCTTCTGAAAAAGAACAAAGAAAACACAACACCTTTCTATAAAAATTATCTTCTCAGAATTGTGAAGTTACAATAGTATCTCTTCAGGGTAACATATCTCCTCCTCAGGGTAAAATATAATTAAAACAAGTTATGTCTACATTAATTTCTCATTCCCACAATAACACATCAGTATCTTTGCTACAACTGGACAGTAAAATGACAGTACATCCACCACCAGGCAAATCATAGAATAAAAAACTCACCAGTGTTTCTTGAAAATCCAATCTGTCGTTGATGTCATCGACTTTGTAGGACCCAGAAAGACTCAGATAGTAATAGTAGTCCATACTGGTAATGCCAAGACTGCTCTTTTGTTCTGAGGAGGCCCCTTCAATCAACTGCAGAACAAAAATCTCGGAATTAGGTATCATACAATCATCTTCCACAGGGCTGAGGCAGGTCACAAACAAATGACTGAGTCTGACATTACTGGGAGAGATACAGCTGGTGCTGTGCCAGGTGTGCATCCTTCCCACATTTTGTTAATTGTTTAACCCAGAAGACCAGATCCTCACTCCCATTCCCATGATTGGTTTAGTTCTAACTTCCACATCTAATAAAAAGCAAAAACTGTGACTGACTTGAATGCCTTCCATTATCTTTACCTCATAAAGGTGAGGGAAAATGGGTTTTTCTACCTGTAATGTATTACATAAATCCTCAGGAGCAATGTGTTTTCCATGCCTGCTGCAAGATAGGCAGAGTTCAAACAACATACTAAGAAAACATTATTTGCGACCCTAACTGTGAGACAAGTATCCTTTTTTGCCCATTATGGGCTATGTCAAGCCAGTTTTGAACTATTCCAGTGCTAGGCTGATTTGAAGCACGGCTCACATCACACCTCTTTGTATCATTTAGGCTGACAGGGCCAAGAATAAATAATGGAGCAGTTCAAAACAGCTCCTGCACTCTGTGATGCCAGAGGCACTTGACACCTCTGTCAAGTCTATGCAGTTGTGCACAGACGTGGCCACACTAGGAAAGAAGGAACGTACAAACCTCAGACTAGTGGACACCCCATAGTCTTTTACCTCCTGTGTCAAAAAGCATCTCCAAGCCACAGAAGAGAATCAGCAGGACAGTGCAAATCGTTCATACACCTCAGAAGAGGAGAACACAGAGCTCCTGGAGCGCTTCCAGCTCCAGCTCAGCTTTCCATCCTGGCAATGGCACTTCAACTGTACATGAAGCCACTTAGAGTCACAATGCACCGGGTTTAACTTTAGTTTTGTAGAGCTTGATCAGTGTCAACAGATAAGGAACTCACATATCAAGGAGCAGTGAAGGCCAGAAAAGACATTTGAAACACAGAAAGAGCAGGGATGCTTGGAGGATTCAACAAATAGGTGGTATTTTAAATGTCCTAGAAGACTGAGAATCAAATCTCTCTTTCAACAACTGCTATGGAATTCAGAGCAGAACATAGGCCAGTTTAAAAAGAAACCTGTTGGAAAGTTCTCATTGTCTATTATATTCCACTGGACTTTTCTGTATGGGAGTTCACAGTCTATTTCCAAGCAAGGCTGCTGAAACATTGAAGAACTTCTGTTGTGGAGCTGAGCAGCAGCTAGGTTGGGTCTATATTAGACGGTGTCTTAACATGCTATCAAGCTTCCCAGTGATACCCAGATTACCTTCTTGCACATGCATTCAGTAATCTCATGGTGTTGAGAATGACTTTTCAATCAAAAGGAGAAACTGCTCCTAGTTATTTTAAATAATTCACAAAAGACTTAAACATTTCCTACCTGGTAAAAAATGTGAAAGCTCCTCTCTCCAGGATTCCTCATTACAACACGAGATTTTTCCAGTAGGAAGTTGGAGATTTTCCCTCCGTCTGGTTCTCCACCTGGGCTAAACTGAATTTCAAAGTATTTTCCCTGCAATAAATCATTAGAGCTCTTGAATGATCAGTAAATACAAATCTGAATTCATGCACTTGTGCCGCATCTCAAGGAAGGTTCCTAGAATATTTCACCCTTAGAGATGCAGTGACACAGCTGCCTCAAGGTACAACCTAAGTTTGAACTATCATGTATCTTTCCTTCTTTCTGCATTTACACAGTGCTAAACTCAGGATAAGAGGTCCTGTGTTAATGTAAATGTAGAGAGGAAGTCAGTGGCTTCTTTTCATAGTCGAGACTTAGCGTAAAGCAAACCATAAAGTTCACCTATACAGGAAGTAAATATAACAGATTTACAACCACTGGCATTCTGCTTGGAAGTAAGGTAAGCAATTATCTTTGTCTTTCCGGGACACATTAATTGCATTAGCACTCCTGTTGGCTGAGGAACAAGTTGCAAATTGTAGCATCTATGTGTAACTTTTCAAAAATGGAACTGGCAGTATGTTATCTAGTAAATAATCATTTCACGGTATTATTTTGAGTATTTTATAATAACAGACTGAAAATAATTCCTGCCTACTTTTGGTATATACTTTTTGTACAATACTAATACTTTTGTATTAGTAAAGGCATTTCCCATCAAACAACTCTAAGGCTGCTTTCATCTACTTTTGAAAAAGCTATAATTTATTGATTTATTTTTAAATATGTGTTGCAATGATCTGGAAAACCAGCCTGGTTTGTGGCTGATAAGTTATTTGCTTGCAGACTAAACATTTTATAAATAAATGGTGGCCAGTACATGTTGCAAGAGAAACAAATGTGCAACAGAATGTAATAGAGGCCTCTCAACGTATACTTAATGCTTTAAAAATCATACTTTGCATTTTAGTTAGATTTACCTCATTTGTAGTCTGTTTATTTTATACTCCCACATACTGTCTCTAACAGCACAGAACCTGGAAGAATAAAGTAATCGCCAAGGCAGAGGGACTTACAAATCGGCTGGAGTTGTTGTTTCGTACAGTTTTTGCATTCCCAAAGGCCTCCAATAAAGGGTTGGACTGTAGAATAATATCTTTAACATGCTAAAATTTTGGGAAACAAAAGAAATAGAGATTCAGAAATAGATATTTTTTGAGTTCTTACAGATTTTCTAGAAAACCATGACATCTAAATTATTTGTTAAGAAAGCCTGCATCTGTAAGAAATCCTCCTGATCAGATCAGGAATACACTCTAACCATCTTTTTTTTTTTTTTCCCCAGTCTCCTAGTTCCTCTTTTTGAAAAATCCTACAAAATTGAGCAAAATGCCTGAGGCTAAAAACAGTCCTGTTTTATTATTCTGCCAAGGAACACAACCAATAAATTGATCTGTTTTTTCATCATCCTGATTTTAAACAATTTCCTTCTTACAAAGGAGCATTTGTATCTTCTTCGGAGTCTGGAACCACAACCAATGAAGTCAGAGAGGCATGGAATTCAGGAATCTGCAAGTGTTTCAGCAACCTAATAAGGTGTGTTACTGTTGTCTCTTTATTGGATCTTGGGCGTTGGAAGTATGAACAAGACATTAGTTTTGAAACAAAGCCAATGCATGCTGGGTTGTGAAGAGAAGATTGAATTTTATTTCAGAAGAAATACTCAAGGCAACTTATCAACTTCAGCTGTTACTCTGTAATCACTAAGAATATTTTTTAATTTTGTACAAGAAGTTGGAATATTTAAAATGAAATATTAACTCATAATCTATAGTATTATATTTATTTCAAAAATAACATAATGCATACTTTCTCTGGATCATTCTCTCGGTTACTGAATTATTGTCTGTAATGTTCCCAGTATCACTGCTGTGCAAAACTAAGCAGAAAGCACATACTCAACATCAGAGACTGCAATACAGCAAAAAAATCTAACAGTAAGCACTCAAAAAGAGTGGACTGGTAAAAGCCACATACCTACCTACCACTGTCAGTCAGTGAATGACAATGTGATGTCATTAAGGGACTTTTTAAGGCTAATTCACTCAATTAGCTTTAGTTAATAGGTTCTGATAGATAAGAGGAGACATTGATAGTATAGTTAACAAAAGCCACTATTTCTTTTTTTCAGCTAATTTTGACTAGATGACTTCATAAAATGAGATGATGCTCCTGCTGTTGGCTCTCTGACATATACATACAAATCAGAGATTTAATGGAAGTAAAAAAACCTCAAAAAGACAGTTCAGTTGTCAATAAAAGGTTAACATCAGAAGGAAATAAACCCACACATCTACTAAAAGGAGACTGGTTGTTCTTAATCTGGTTAGGAACAATAATTCAAGTGTCTTTTAACCTTTAACTAAAATAAATAAATCAATTCATTCTTGTAGACAAAATTCACCATGAGCTACAAAAATTTTTAGGAGAGACACTTCTGGGTCTGTGGATTTCCCTCCCATGGCTTCCATCACAGAGGCAGCCCAACAACCTGCAGGCAAGCAGGTCCACTGTCCCCTCTGGTTGTCTCTCTGCTGTTGAGGCTTGTATGTCTTTCCAGCTGCTCACCCTCAAGTTTTTTGGGTAGAGTGCCTCTTGGCTGCCAGAGACACACCTTTGTCCTTCTATCTCTGAAGCAGATCTTTGGACTATGATTGTATTTCAGTATTACTCTGTAGCAACTCACCTGCACTTTAGGGCCACCTCCTGAAATTTTGGAGATATAACTCATTATATATTTTGCAGCTACAGTCTTTCCGGCACCACTTTCTCCACTGAAAAAAAAAAAAAAGAAGGAAAAAACCCCACAAAAATGTATCTGTTAAGGTTCTAAATAACTCTAGAATGGAGTAATTTGAGGTTTATCCTGTTCAGCCAAGACGAGGTATTTCAACAAATAATAAATACACACCATATTTCCATCAGGTAAGCTGGTAACATACAGACTGTGAGGCAGTACTGAAGCATGGTAATTGAGTATGCTTCAGAATAAATAGTTCTTGCATGGACAACAGAATCTCTATGGGACTTCAAAGTCAGAAATAAATAGACTTAAGCCAAGATGCTCAAAAGAGGACAAGTGTGTTAATAGCTCAATTCCCATCTAAATTCAGTGAGATTTCAGATCTTAAAACAAGTCACTCAAAAATCCAGACTTTGAATGCCATACCAGATACCTACTTCATTTCAGGAGTCTTTTGTTTTAGGTGTTCCTGAATGAAATAATGAGACATTATTAATCACATCCTGAATGACGGAAGAACTACCTTCCTGTTCCTATGACTCTTGACACAGGGTACAAGAAGTCTTAATATTCCATACTGGCTTTCACAAATCCTTCCTTTCATTACAATATTTCACTTCAGCAGTGAATAATGTTTACAGCATCAGTGGATCTGCCTTCTCACAATTAGTAAGCTTCTCAAGAGGGAAAGAAAATGCGCATGCCAGACAATCTAACCTCATGCTTTATTTCATACCTTAAAGCTAACTTCATTTCAACAGAATTCCTCCAGACTTACATAAATCCTCATGCAAGTCAGCTTTGACATTAATAAATTTACCCAGATTTGGGCAACTATACCAATACACAAAAACAACACATGGATGTTGGTTCAAAGTCATAAAGATACACAAAATATCTTTTTTCCTGTGCAAAAATCTGTGCTATCTTTAAGCTCCTGAATAATTTCAGTGAACGTTGTTGACTCTCTCTCCTGCGCCTACTTGCTCCTGGATATGGATCAAATGCACATCTTTTCCTGCACAAATTCTAGCCACGTTTGCCAGAGAAACATCAGCATGTCCTGCACACGAAAAGGGCTTGCTGAGAATGTCATCTCAGAACTCCTTATCAGCATGAGGAATGGAGACATTTCCAAAGGTTTAATTCTGAAAAAAAGATCCCCGATCTGCAATTATCATTTTACATCTTTAAAGCTTCCGAACCGTACAGAAATGCTGAAGGGCTTTCCCCTGCCCATAAATGTTTTGATGCTTTTGTCTTCTCCTGACTGCACATTTTTTGACAGGAAACTTGGAAAAGGTGAAGAAAAACTTCTTGATCATCCAGTCTGCAAAGTACAGACCATGATTCGTATTATTCTGAGTCATCATTTCCTAAGCATCAAGAAGAGAAGCATGTATTACTGGTATCTGCTACATTCACTGGGATAGACAGTTTGCTGTATTTAGACAGCTAAACTGTATTTAGAAGTTCAAAGCAACAATAGTTCATTTATTAAAATAACATTTCATCAACATTTCCTCACAGTAAATTTGATCATCCTGATGTAAAAAAAAGACACACAAACCAGTCTAAACGGAATCATACTCTTCAGTTTACATCTGCAGTTTTCATGTGAATACAGAGGAGGATCCAGGTCCAAATATCGAATTAATTTGATCAGGTATTATTTATCATGCAGTAAAAAAGTAACACATTTCTGTAGGATTTTCTTTGATGCATAAATTATCCTTGTCCTCTTTGTTCAAATTCAGTGTGGCTTGTATTTCTTATTGCATAGAGTCTGCAATGGAAATTGACCTGGAGGAATATAGTTCCATTTTACTGTTAGTATCTGTTTTAATATAAGTGGTCCTTTATATTAAATTAAATTGGCCAAAAGCTTGCCTTTCAGAGTTTGCTTTAGATTTATGCATGCATACACTTTTTTTTCAGTTTTATGCTTTTATTGATCAGAGACCAGTAAATTGCTCCAGTTAAACTAGAATAAAACAGGATGATGCATTATTTATGAAGCAAAGTAACTTTATCTGATGTCATGGTATCTTGCCCCCAGTAACACAGAAATTGATTTTGCCAAATGATTCTCATACCGAAGCTTTTTCACGTACATCTTACTGCTCTGCAGCTATTAAACTATATTAAGATGTAAGAATAATTTTCTAGCTTAGTAGTTTTACGTATGTTGGAAGTACAGAGGGTTTTAATGGTTGAGAAAGTTATTATAATGGCTTAAAGTAAATGTATTGTGATACTGGCAGTTTTCTCAGAGACTTTTCTTACTGAAAATAAAAACAACATAGTCGAAATAAGTAACAAAAAAATAATGCTTTGAAAAACATATTGTTTCTTCAAGCACTATTTGCTACTTGAGACGAGTGACATTTTGTTCAGTAAAGTCAATTAACATTTAGCTGAAATTACTACAAAAGCAAAGGGAAAATTCTTTGCTCCTTCCTTCCCAGAGGAAATATCCTTCTCTCTAAAATCAGTTTTCTGAGTGCCACTTTAAAGAGTACCCTTAGCTGCAGACCAATACAAATGATACTTATCTACATTGCCAGGATAATGTAAAAATTTTAATAAGGAATCACAGAATCATAGAATGGCACAGGCTGGAAGGGCCCTTAGAGATCATCTAGTCCAACCTCCCTGTCATGGGCAGGGATGCCTCTCAACTAGATCAGGCTACTCAAGGCTCCGTCCAACTTGGCCTTGAACACCTCCAGGGAGGGGGCAGCCACAACATCTCTGGGCAATTTATTCCAAAGTCTTGTCACCCTCGTACTGAAGAATTTCTTCCTAAGATCTAATCTAAATCTATTCTTCCTTCAGCTTAAACCAATTTCCCCTTGTCCTATCAGTGGATGCTCTTGTAAAAAGTCCCTCCCCAGCCTTCCTGTAGGTTCCCTTTAGGTATTATTGGAAGGCAGCTATTAGGTCCCCCCAAATATTTATGAAGAACTCATGGACCTTCCAGTAAAGAACACTGAATATATAAAATATTCTGATGTGTTTCAGTAAGCTTTTTAGTTTATATAGAAAATTTACTTTCTCTAATTACATTCAGAGAAACCTCAGTAGCATAACTCCGGTGACATGTTCTCCCCTTCTGAATCACAGCTTTTATCTAACTTTTCTTACTGCTTTAGACTTATGTTTCTACCACTTCCTCATTAAAATTCAACCATATTTCCAAATAGATTCTGTACAGCCTTTTTAGATTGACTTAATAGACTTAAGATATATGAGTTGTTCACTAAAAACAGTTGGATTGGTAAATGATCTTTCCATTAAAATATATTTGTAATATTTAAGATGTATTGTCTTTCAGGTATGCATCATCATACACAATGTTACTCAAACATTTCCACATGGATGTAAAACCTCAACTAAAATTACTAACAAGAAGAACTGAAAAACTGCTTTAAAGCAACTGCAATATCTCCTGGCAGAAATCACAGGAAGAAAGTGAAAATAAAGTCTTTATAAAAAGGTAAAGCTTTTAAGAACACTCTGAATAAACACATTTACTGCTACATAATGAAAAAAAATAATCATAACTTCCACTGGATGAATTAAAGGACAATAATAGTCCAGAAGGAATTAAAAGCCACAAAAGCCAATCCTTCATAATTAAAATCTTCATTGGACAACTTGTTGATAGTTTGAAAGGGCCACCATTTCAAGAGAGGGAGAAAAGGGAATTGTCTACTGTTGTAGATTTTTATGAGCTTGGTCCAATAGAAACTTCAATTAAATATTGTGCCTCAGTAAAACAAACTTAATGAGAAATCCAATTCCAGCATAGCCTGCATTAGTCACATGAATAATTCTGCCCGGTGCATACAGAACACGGGAAGACGACTGCGGGTACTGCTCCCTCCTCCTACGTAAGCACACTCTGCACCCACGTTCAGCCCAGCCAGAATCCAGCCTGTGAGTAACCTCATTGCTTACACTGTTAACAACCATGGCTCCTCACCTATAATTAGACATGCGTACATGTAATTCTCTTAATGCATATGTGCTGCAATTACTCCACTAATGAAACAGGCTCCCCCAGCCCTGGAAAGATTGTTTGGGAATGATTTTTCTTTTTAAGTGAGTATTATCACGTAAAAAGATTGGGTTTGGTTGCTACCAGAGAACTGTATTTCCTATTGGATCTGCTTTCCTTGTTAATTCACTGACTTTTTGAAGAGGATGAGCTTTTTCTATCAGTATCCAAATGCATTTTTCAAAATCTTGGAATTAAAATGTCCTAGCAAAAGGGCATGTGATCCTCACACACATATACAGGGTCCTGGTTACAACAGGACACTGCCAGGACCTTCTTTCACCTGCCTGGAAAACTGTCTCATCTCTAGGAACACATGTACCCTCCAGGTCCAGCGGTAGATGCCACAGGTTCCCAGACCACATGCTGCAAGGAGACAAGTGTGCACCAACCCCTTCCCAATCATCCTATCTCCATTCCTGAGACTCCATGTGCACCAGAAGCCAGACTTTTGATCTGACTGTGAATCAGTGCAGTCTCCAACTTATTTCTTACCTTCTCTCTTTGCAAATCTTTCTTCAGGGGGAAAATCTACCATCTTGAGGGGGGAAAGAAAGGAAAAATCTGGATTTGTTTCTGTACCAGCTTGCTCTGTCCTTCTGTTCCACCAGGGATTTTCAGTGAAATGCAAAGGTTCATTTCAAACTGCTTAGTTCTGTGGAACTGAATGGTCAGAACTGTATCTCAGTTTTTTGAGAATCACCAGTTTAGGGGCATAAATGGTAAAGTCCTTAGCAGCTATTAAGTGAAGCTGACAGTGTGGTAGCAGACATGAAGCTAGCCAGTATATTCATGTCACTCGAGCTTCCTGTCTGTGAAATAAAACATAAACAAGCAAATTCCAAACTTTGAGAAAATTATTTTTAAGCCAGCTCTAGTTGTCAGAAATAGCAATGACACTGAGATCAGAAAATACAGAATATATCTAAACAGTTCAAATGAAATGTGGTTGAAAGGATTAAAATATCAACCAAACAAAATCAATTTTGTGAATAGCTGAGTTACTTGATTTCATAAAAATAATTTCTAAGTATCCCAAAAAATCAAACACCCTCATGAAAACTACCTGTAAGTCTACTCTGCAGTTTATATAGTGCTTGTAATAAGAACAATCACAGGAAAAATAAATATGTAGAAAGAAAGGGGAACTCTCTAAAATGTCCCCGGCAAACAATTTTTCTTGTTTCAGTTTTGTAGTAGATTTCCATAAACTCCAACAGATTTTGAATATGTGGTGCACACACAGAGAGAAAATTCACTCTGCACATACAAAACGCAGGCACTCCAAAGAGCGCGTCAGCCATCATTCAAGCACAGGAGTTCTCACATGAGTTTAAACCTTTAAGCCTGCATCGCCAATCTGCATCTCAGCTCTCTGAAAATGCGGCCCTCTGCATTCACTGCGCTTTGGGCCATTAGTAATGGACCAAAAAATATGTTTTCTATGATGACCCTCAGGCAGAACTAACACAGTGAATATAACTTGCAAACAATCATTCCTCACAAGCTTTCACAGCAGCTCATCAGTGAGATATATCGATATGAAATTGGTTTTCACATTGGATCGCTCAGTAGGCAACAGGAACACTTGCACATGGAGCACCTCCACACGCCAGACCCAGGGCCCAGGCCCTGTTCCCTGTCACACTCCGGCAGCCACAACATACGAGTGAGCAGCTGGTGCACGGGCATTTCAGCTCACCCAGCAGCGACCATCCCCGCGGTTCCACCCGGGAGCTGAGCGCACCCCATTACAGGGCATCTGGACCTGATCACCCTCAAGTCCTGCCCCCTGGGCTGCGACACTGGAGGGCACACAGGCCCCCCAGACAGAAAACCATCTCTTTTGCTAAATTCAACAGCAGTTAAATACATAGTCTTGCCTCTCAGCATGTTCCACAAAGAAGTTATAGGAAGCTTAAGAAGAGCTGTTATTAATAAAACAATGACAGTTTCCCTTCAAATTCAATTCCCTTCATATTTTATTTTTTTTTTTACTTTTTCCTCCTTTCTTTTCCCTAGTTCTTGGGAAAGTCTCATAGGTCAGTGATATCTAAATGCATTTGATCACACACATCATCAGTAAAGAAAAAGTCTGAGCACAGACTCCCACTGTATGTTTATTATTTATCTGTTTATAAATTACATACATCTGCTACAGAATGTCCAATACTTTCTTCCTGCTTCCCAATGGATTTCAGTGCACAGCCCTTGTGACACAGACGCTCCACTCTGGAGACCACTGCCACAGGTAGGCACACTGCAGTGAACTTGGGATTTCTTTTTATCTCAGAAGGAAAGTCAGAAGGGATCCTGTGTACCAGATCCTGTAGTTCTTGCTCTCTGCACACTTCCTTTTATTATACACCATCTATAAAGCCACAGTGAGAACAAAGGATACCTCTGGGCCCCAATCTCACTTTGTACAGTTAAGTAATACCTGTCATAAAAACAGTTCACTAATAATTCTGCAGTGAATTCCTTCAGTCTAATAATTAAAATAGATTAACAATGAAGACAAAATTATTTTTTTAAGTTTCTCTCTCCTCCTTTTGTCTCTGACTGAATGCAAGTAACATTCCAAAAGGAACAAAAGTACATTTATTTTTAACAGGGGGGGAAAAAAAGAAATAGTACTAAAATCAGAGTATGGTAAATGCAGTCAACGTGAGAATGTTGGGTTTAACTGTATCTGTGGCTGGTACAGTTGTTAACCCATCTCTCTCACGTAGCCATTCAAGCAAGTGCAGTTTTGGTATTGGATATGAAGCTGGCTATGCGAGAGATTTCTTGTGGTTAAGCTATCCTCAGGATTTCACTGGAAAACAAAAGGAAGGGTCAGAAAGTATTTAGCTATCCTAGAAAACCTCAGAATGTTCAGTGGTCAGAAGATTTTTATTACTATAATTAAAAAAACCCCTTTTTGCTTCTTGAAGTTAAAAAAAGAAAAGATAAAATATATTTTAAAGATTTTTCTTACCTAATAATGACACACTGATTTTCTCTGTCAATAATCATGTTTCTGTACATGCTGTCTGCAAGAGCATAGATATGTGGTGGGTTTTCATACTGTGCCTAGGAGAGGAAATACAGAATAATTTTTCAACACAGCATTAAACTATGCAGAAAGAGAAACGCACATTTTTATTTAAACTGGAAGCATTCTTTTCCTGGAAAAGCAATTCTGAATTCCACTTTTTACTGAATTTTCACCAGGAATTTTTTTGTTCATTTAATAAAAACAAACCAGTCTCTGGGTTTTGTTACCGATTTTGCTTTCATCCATACTTTTCTTCTAAACTATCGTAAACACCCTGTTCTAAAAATGGTCTATGCCTGACTTGTCCAAGAGAAACTCACATAATTTAAGCCTGTTCCACCAATGCTCATATGCTAACAATAAACTACCTAAACCACTGCACCGAGCCTGGTGCTGCTGCGTGTCTCATTTCCATCCACTGAGTCCACTCCAATCAAATGGTTTCCTGAATCTACGGACATGCCCAAATAGAGCAGAACAAGGAGAACTGAATTTTAAGTCCCGAATGTCCTTGCGCTGACTTGCTCTTCAAGCTATATTTTCAACAGTGGCATTTAATTTTGGCATTTCAGGTTTTGTATGGTTCTCGTCCAGTTTGAGCGTTCTCAAGTCATCACCTCCAAATCCACTAGTGGCCATTGCACACCCCACTTTAAACACACAAAAGCTTAAAAACTGCCTTTGCAGGAGGAGGGATTTGTCAAGGAGAGAAACCTGATATGGCTTAGAGTTAATAAATGCAAATATTTTCTTGAAATACTAATCCTGTGTTCCAAGGAGTTCAATTTGAAGACTTAATATATGATAATGGGCATCAGCCAAGTTCTCCCAGGCTAGTACAATGCTACCAAAACCCAGAAACAAATGCGTCCAAGAGTTTAACCATGTAGAATAATATTTATGTGCCCCTAAATACTGCAGTACATTTTAGACTGCTTTACTTACTGCTCCTTGGTACATTTCAATTTCCTTTTCCCCAAAATATGGCATTTGCTTGAAAGGATTCACTGAAATTAATACAGAGCCAATATACGTCTGTATTCAAAAGAAGTTAAGGTAACTAAAGTTTCATAAAGTATTTTCTTAGCCCTAGTGAATGTCAAATAACTTTTCGATCTATTAAATAATACAGCACTGTTTCAAATAATAGTTAAAAGACAGCTTACAACAATTGTTAATAAAAACAAAATTTGCAAGCCTACAAGGATATAAAGATATAACTCAATGGGATACTTTCATATTATCAAAATATTTATTTTTGAACCAGCTAAGTGTAGAAACATGTATTACACACCCAAACACAATACACCTTGAAAAAGAATACAGAAAGGAAATGGCATATTTAAACTATTTTACTTCTTTGTAACTGACGAGGTCGTATTGTCAGCATGAGAAAAGTTTGTTTCGACCTTTGCAGAATATAGAGTAGTGATACATTCTGATCTCACGGAGACAGTGCTGAGCATGCACAGCTGGATGAAACCAGCCACTACTGAGCTAAATCAATTACTCAGCTGCGTGTACTAGTGGGGGAGCTAAGGGATTTAGGTAATTCAGTATGTGCAGTTATTTTACAAGTATAACTATTAACAGTCGCCAGGAGTCTTACCCTGCAGGTTGCCTGTAAGTAGACACTCTGTTTCAAGTTATTATTAGTCTCAGAAAGCTTTTTTGCAACATTTTGACTGTTAATATTTCACTGTTCTGCATTCAGCTGCACATGTCAGTGGTTCCAAAGAATGTTTATCAATATGGTGCTGGGTGCTTTATATATAAAAATACATATATATTTATATTTTTTTATTTATACATTTATGAAATACTTCAGAAGACTCTGGAATTAGAATTGTAGTATTCATATATGAATCAACCAATACTACTTTACAGGCAGGACTGTTTCATCCTGCTGGGAGGTAGCAATATATCCCTATCAAGACCAAAATGTCATACAAGTTTCACTTAATCTGGAATTGCTCATGGGCAAAATTTTTACCTAAGCTTTCCATACAAATGTAGGAAAATTAACAAATTTAACCTGGTGGATTATCCTAGGTAAGAATCTATTATTGTAGTGCCACAGCAAAAAAATAGTAGCACTAGAGTAAAGCATAACTTAGTGAACATAATTTCTGTATTGTTAATTTGCAATGTTTTCTTCATACATTTTTTAAATTTAATTCACAGAAGAGTGACAACATCTGGGTCTCAGATTTGATAAATCAAGCATTCACTGTGTCAGTATAAACATCCTAAGTGACAGTTTTCTGTTGGTAGACAATACCAGCATTTTCTGGGACGATTTGGTAATCTCTATGCGATGTAGCCGAGAGAAATGTTCATTCATGGGTGGACATACAAACAATTGAAAGATTCAAGAGCTGATCTACATTTTAGAATGAAAAGCCTTTGCAGAACTGCAAAAGGAGTATTTTCTCCCTACACAAAAGAATTATAATGCTTTAAAGGATGACTCTGGTCCCTCATGTGACCACAAGTCCCCTTGGAAAACATTTATTTCTGCCTCAGTAGAAATACCATCTCTGTGCTCATCTCATTTTTTATAAGAAAATAAGCATATTAACCGTTTCTTCAGCACAGAGCACTGAAGATTTTGTAAACATACTGCATGGAAGATGCAGCACTCCACAAGGACAAAAGCGCTCATTTTACCAACAGGAAGAGCACTGTAGTTTGCTCCAGTATAGTTGGACAAATATTGTGTGACTTCATCACATTTCCATAAGGCAAATGTAATACTGGTGTGGTACTTCACTGAATAGATGAGCCAAAGCCATATGCACAATGCACATACATATAAAAACCTCTGCATTTTGGGATGGAAATGTCAGCACAAATACAACATTAATTTTTCTCTATCAGTCCTTGCTAGATCAAGCTGCTCTTCAGCTCTTAGCTATCTCAATACATGGAAATAGCCAGCAGTTACTGTATTTCCTTCTCTTTCTGCCGAAACTAGTTAAACTCTTCAAGGAAATCATTCTCCAGATACAACTAGGAAGTATCAAAATCTGGATAGAGCAGAAGAAGAAACAGTTATCACTTTCTAGTATATAATAATATTGCATAGTGTTTACCAAACTCATTATTGCAGCTCATGTTACACTGAGAAAGCTAAAAAGGATTTAGCAACTCAAGGAATTCCTGTCATATGATATTTCTTATTTTGTTTTTAAAAAGGCACATCTTTGGTGTTGAAACCTGTTTTCTTGTTAGGTTATACATTCACGTATTTAAATACTTCACATTTTCATTAATGATTAAAAAATTAAGTGTGAGCACTGTAGATTTACAGATGCTCACATGTTCATGTGTTTCCATCAGCCCAACCCCATAAATTGTAAATGGGGCTACGTCACAGAGGAAATGCTATTTTAAAAGCATTAGAATTTGGAAGCTATAGAAGACAACAACGTTATCAAGACATATGTAAACACCTTAAACCTATTAATTCTTGCTCTTAGAAGTAGCATTACTGCAGCAGCTTCAGAGGTCACACATACACAAATACATGGAGCTACAGGCCTATCTTCAACATAGACAACAACAATAATTCCAAACATCAAAAAGCATACATTAAAATATTTTATCAGATCTTAATTTTAGCACTCATAATAAGCTCAGTTTAGACAACATTTTGTGTAATCCAAGGTGAACGGTCACATAAAATGCTCCACATCTTTAGGTAATCTGCTAAAACAGAACACATCCATCTGATCGGTCTCACAGAGGCTCAGCAAGTCGACAGGGTACTGCTCCAAACAACACTGCAAAGGATACAAAAATATAATCATCCATGTATCGTTTCTTTAGGTTCTCGACTATGGACTCCTCTGTGATTTTGGAAAGAAGGACCATGTCATCCACTCCACTGTGCTTGACATTGTGGCTCTGCCAGTGATACCTGTAGTGTCCTTTGCTGCCCTGCAGGAAAGCACAACAAACAGGTTATTATATTTCTCATTAGAATTAAATAACTGAAACCCATCTATTCAAATTCCCACTTCCAAAATATTTTTCTTTCATTGAATTCTATAGCTCGATCCAGGCACTCTATAAAAGCATACATCAATGATGTCAGCTGACTTGCCTGTGAACTATTAAAGAGTTGCACTGCCCTCAATAATTACAAGGTAATTTCATGGGGTTTTGTAAATGTCTGCACACAGAAGGGATTTCAGCTGGCAGACATTTCTAAATCTAGCAGAAAGAAAACAATTATTCCAACTGAGATGCAGTTATTAGAAGCTAAGGATGGAAAAATTACACTCCTACAGTGGAACTATTAGGGGTGAGGATAATTACCGCGCGAACTATTCAGTTGGGTACAGTGAATTCTCCATCCTTTAGTCTCTAAGTCAAACCCGCACATATGCTGTTACTCAAATGGAAGCTGTGAGCCTGATGCAGTGAGTATTCAGTGATGTTCTGCAGATTACGTTACGCAGCTTGTCAGCCATGTGCCTTAACAGTGCCTTCTGATCTGTTAGTCACCACGCTTCGCTGACATCTAAATAGATATTCTCTCCTCGCACTTAGACTGCTGTTTCAGGATGCTGCTGAAAACTTGTGACATTTCAAGGTGTACCACTTGAAATCCAGATCGCTTTTTTTTCCAGTTGATTTGAACAATACTTAGGTTCTATGGACATACCCACAAACAAATTTAAATCCAGCCTAGATCAATGCTATTAATTTAGCTATAGATCTGCTCTCCAAACCCAAACTTATTTTGTGTAGCCTGGCAGATAATGCTAATGAAGTTCTTCCCTTTTGCCTTTTTACACTTGAATTTGTTTATTCAGCACTGAAATCAGTGATGCTAGAATTAACACATTTTACACTCAAAAGCTATGGAGTATTCCATCAAGGAAGATGTAGCCAAGAAAATGTCAATTTTGTGTATTCCTCTTATTTTTTGATACCAGGATTTCAAACACTGTGATTTAGCTACACTGCTTTCATATATGTTATGGGATCAAGTCTTAGTCAAAATATGAGCAACTTACTATTACAAAGGTTTTCTGCAAAATAAAATAACACATAATTTTACAGATTAAATAAGAAAATTTAGGTACTCTGAACACTTTGACTACACTCAAGTATTTTGAAATGGGACTTTAGCAATTTACAGAGGTGGGACTGTTGTGTGTACACACTCGTGCATTGGCAAATGACCTGTGCAACGGTACCTGCACAGAAGTGCGTCAGCCAAATTGTTTCCTCATGTCATTAGTAACGCGGTTTTACCAACACCAGGCACAGGAATAGGAACTATAAATGGAGTCAGGGAGCACAAGATTCTTATTTTAAGCAGAGTTGGCTAAAAGTGGTCATTAAATTAGTCTCAGGCTATGTTTTTCCACAAACTTCACAGCATTTGTTAGGAGGAAAACCCAACAAAAACAAATGAAGACACATGGTCAGTGCATAATGTAATATTAGCAAACGGAGTCAGGCCTGTGAATCAGCCTCATCTCAACTTGAATGACATAAAAAAAAAAGGACCAACTGGATTTTTATTTCAAGTTAAATTAACTTTCACTAAAACCAGACCCGTCTTAACTACTGCAGAATTTGTAGGCTTTATATGTGGTTTTCTATTAAGTCTCCAGCCATTGCTACCAATTGTGCAGCACCATCACTGCTAACGCTGAAGAACAGACAAATTTGAATTAAAAGAATGCTTTTAAATATAATACAGCAGAGGTAAGCATGTCTGTAAGCACACAAGCTCAGCAATTTTCCTAAACATCCACAAGCTTACATGAGCTTCAACAAAATAATAAACTTAAACTAGCTTAGTTTGTGTGAACCTTGTCAATTTTATATTAGCATGACAGAAGCAGTGATCTGGAAGCACTGAGAAAACAAAGGAATCAATTAATTTTTGGAAATTGTTATAAAACATGTGACTGAAATAAAAACAGTTGAAGGTCAGATTATTGGAGAAAACAGAAGTCCAACAGAGAAGCATAATTTCCTTCAGTGTACTCATCAGCTATCTGTGACATTATACTTGGAAAAAGCAACTGACAGGATGAACAAAAGGGTGAAATATCACTATAAATACAATTACATTGTTCACAAAGCTATGCAGAATATGGTTTAGTATCAGATAATAAAGCTACAGAAAACGTGTAAGAAATGAGAGCAGGAAAACAATCAAGCTTCTCATTGGAAGCTGTGGCATCTGAGCCAGTAAATTCACTGAGGACAAAACTCACAAAGCCACGGGATATAGGGAAAATGTGCACACAGTTTGCAAAACAGCAGGCTTTATACAAGTCTGTCACTGTTGGCTGATTGAGCCACACACACTACGAGGCCAGAGGGTTCTTTCCCAAGAGCACCGCGAACCAGCACGCAGGCAAGAAGGGCGGCCCCGGGAAGGCTCTGCCTGCCCCGAGAGCAGCTCTCCCCACGCTTACACACTGCTCTGACGTGCGGCTGCAATCCAGTCCTAGGGCTACAGTATCACATGTGGTCAAATGGAAACGGATGCAGACAGATTTAATGAAAAGTCAGCAGCCCAAACACCCAAGAAAGCAATAGTGTGGAAGACAGCTGGGAGTGGCAGCACGGAGTTGGTACTAATATTGTATCACAGTCAGGTTCTGTCACTAGTTTGGGACTACTTGTTTTCCCTTAAAGCAGTGCCTTACATGCAGTCACACAGAGAAACAACAAAATCACCACCGGATTACTGTCAGACTTCTCACTAGGATCTTTAAATAAGCCCAAGCTTTAGCAGTGCCTAACCACATCAGTGCTTAGGTTTTGCTCTCGCAAAACCTTGGTTTTAGGTAGGTTCTACTATCCACATAAAAACCGTAGTACTCTAATCTGGAGACAATTTACACCTGAGCTAGCTACCTGGTGTCCAGCTTAACTTGAACCTGCTTTGCAGGGAGGACTGAGCCTAATTCACTCAACTGCTCTTGGTCCTTTGTTGCCCTTCATACCACACGCTTTCTCCTCCACCCCTCTCCACCTGCTCCAGGGACAGGTCAGGTCTCCTGGGGCTAACAAGAAACTTCAGAGCCAGACGAACAAGGGCCAGTAGAGATGCCCCAAATCCCCATGTCAGCACTGGCCACAGCCAGGAGGACTCAGTAGCTTGAACAGAGCTCCCCTGTGGCACGCTCAGATCCGGGCAAACAGAGAGGCTCAGAGCTTGCAGTCCATCCCTGGGCCAAGCAGTGTCAACAAATACCAACTTGGCTTCTCTTAGGTTTTGACAGTGAAACAGGCGATCTCACTGTACAATAAATAAGCAAATGAAAGTCTTTGTGTCAGCACTAACAGTGCCTAAGCAGCTGAAAAGAGATGAGCTTGGCAGATTAGGAAAAAAGCCCCAAAACACATCAACAGCCTGCTAAAAGCCGCAGAAGTGGAAACAGGAGCATTGTACACCCTGGCTGCCAGGTGTCCCTCAGGCTCTCCCAGGCTGAGAGCCCAGCACCTGACGCTGCACAGGCTGCACAGGGAACGGAGCCTGGGCTGGCAAAGCTGGAATTAAAGGCGTGTACCGCATTGCTGTCAGCTGTTATTATTCATTTGGTTGCTGTTTTAGGCTCAAAATCAAATCTGCTTTGCACTGACAAGAATAATATTTGAGTCATGAGATGACCCAGTGAGCTAGGAGCTTACCGTTCCAAGCCGTACCGCTTCAGGAGCACAGGTACAGTGACCACCTGCCTAGAGACTAGGCAGTACTGTCCTCTCCACCTCAGCAACATTACGTTTAGCATCAAACCCATCAAGACTCAAAAGAAACTGAAAAACTAATTCTACTCTCACTTTGTACATCTTCCTTAATACCCACTCATTAACAGATTAAGTGCTACATTAATACCACGAGAGGGAATGCAAAATACTCTCTACTAAATACTGTCTATACTTTCTGTACTACTTTTGGCATGATTTGGTTAAAGCACATGATTGTTTTGCTTGGAATTCGTAATAAATATTGATGAGACATTTGTTTACAGAACTTTTTTTTCCACCTTGTGTTACAATGGCAACTGCTGGTTTCTTGTTTTTGCCTTTATTATTGTTTGTATATTTTACATTATCCTAAGCAACACGTATTTGATGTGGCTATAAAAAGATTGAGTCATGCTGTGTCACAACAGGGTTTTCTTTTAACTGGCAAAAAAAGGCAAATATTTCTGTATTTCAAGCTGTTTAAAAATAGTATGTCTAAAAATATCAGAGGAGTATATACCCCATCCCTGAGAAAGAGCCTTGTTTCTGTCTCCATCAGAACTCTAAGCTACAACAACATACGTGCCATAAATAATCATTCTTGGTTCCCACAAAGGGAAAAACTGCCATCCTGAATCTGAGCTTTTGTCAGCAGCACGTATCAATCCTCCATCACGGTGCAGAAGGGATTCTCAGCCCCCATGAGGAAGTGAGTGAGTCAAATGATCACAAGCATGATTTTTTTCTTTCCCTTTTCAGCTGTGACAGAGCACTATTGCATAAATTCCTTGTAGTTTTGGAGGCATATGTCTGTCTACGCATATTAGCATTATGAATACAACACTACATGATACACAGCCATCATCTTAACCAAAGATGTCACAAAACTGAAAAAGCTGCACACCATTTACTCTACACCTGACATCAGTACTTCTACCAGTGGAGGCATATCACCAGTCACATGCATAATTTGGAGCACTTTTTCCATCTAAGAAATAAATTTTTTTTTGCAATTCTATCATCCATCAAAACAGCATACTTGGAGAATCCACTTACAGGCATCTTCCACGTATTTCTGTAAGGTGAAAGAGTCTGCTCTTCTCAACAGAGAATATTGCACTAATATTTAATGTGAATTTTGGTCCTCAGCTGGGATTATCAAAACTGAGAAGCCATAGTAGACAAGAGTGCTCCAAAATAGCTCTTGTATATCT